GTTCTAAACTGTGTGACCGCGGGGGCCGGGGTGGAGACCAGGGTGCCAGCTCTCAAGGCCTGGGGGTGAGAGGTGGGGGGGCACGGGCGCCTCGTAGGTCCGGAGTCGGAGTGGGAGGCTCCCTCCGCCGGGCTGGCTGGTCAGAGGAGGAACGTGATTAAAAAGAAAAATGAATGAGAGAAAGGAGACCCAGGAGGAGCGGCAGACTAATAACAATGCTCGCTCCATCAAGATGCGCTGGGCAGCCATCTGGGCCTGGAGGGGAACAGGAGAGACAAAGGAGGTGGGGGAAGGCTCCAGAGCCCCCAAACGGTGAGCACTAGGCCAAAGGTTGGGGTTCTCACCCACCCAGTAGGGCTGAGAGGAAGCAGCCTGAGGCGGCCAGTGTGTGGAGGCTAGTTGGGTGGCCAGGGAGTAGACTCCACCTCACAGGTGTCAGAATCCAGCTGCCTGACCCTGACCCTGGTGCCTTCAATTTATTTTTATTTTTCTTTTAAGATCTAGGTTTCCAAGGGGGCCTGCTAAGGTCAGTTAATTCAAAACAAAGAGGCCAACACAGAGTTGTAGTGACCGTTGTGTGGCCTTCCAAAGGCGTCATCTTAATAGGTTTTTTAAAAAGATTCCTACTTTTTTTTAATAGATAATTTTATTGGGGGCTCTTACAGCTCTTATAACAATCCATCCATCAATTGTATCAAATGTATTTGTACATATGTTGGCATCATCCTTTTCTTTCTACTTGAACCCTTGGTATCAGCTCCTCTTTTTTCCCTCCCTCCCTTGTGACCCCTTGATAAACTATGAATTACTATTTTCATATCTCACACCATCTGCTGTCTCCTTTCACCCACGTTTCTGTTGTTTGTCCCCCTGTGGGTGGCGGTTACACGCTGATCATTGCGATTGGTTCCCCATTTCTCCCTCACCCTCCTACCCTTATGGTATCACTACTCCCATTGCTGTACCTGAGGGGTTTATCTGTTCTGGATTCTGTGTCGAGAGCTCTTATCTGTACCAATGTGCATGCTCTGGTCAAGCCAGGTTTGTAAGGTAGAACTGGGGTCATGATAGTGGGGGGAGGAAGCATTAAAGAGCTGGAGGAATGTTGTGTGTTCTGTTGGTGCTATCCTGCACCTGGCTGGCTCATCCCTTCCTTGTGAACCTTCTGTGAGTGGATGTCTACAGATAAGCTTGGGGTCTCTACTTGTGAACCTTCTGTGAGTGGATGTCCAATTATCTACAGATAAACTTGGGGTCTCTACTCCAACCCCTATCATTTGCATCGATATAATTGATTGTTTGGGGTCTTCTGATGAGAGACCCAAAGACTTACAGTACACAAAATAAGCATGAGGAAGTTGCTTGGGGAAAGGCTAGAATGGAGCAGCTGGGAAACTTCTGCCCAGGGGCCATTTGGGTATTGACAACATCACTCACGGGCCACACAGAATGATGGACTTAAAAAGTGCGCCTGTCTTAAATGCTTCCTCCCGGCCCACTAT